TGGAGTACTATGTAGCTGTTAGAAAAGATGAAGTCATGAAATTTACATACAAGTGGTATACTACATGGAAAGTAATATGTTAAGCGAAATGAGTCAGAAAGAGCGGGATAGACACAGAAAGATTGCATTCATCTGGGGAACATAAAGCAACAAAATGGGAGACTAACACCCAGGAGTGGCTGAGATTAGTACCAGGAATTTTGCTCCATGACTTGGAGGCCAGCCACACGTGCTAGGGGAAAAGGAAGCTCAGATAGAGAAGAGAGCACCAAATAAAGGGTCTTGTGAGGATCCTCCCAGGGTGGGAGAGCATGCTGAAAGTAGATTATAGACCAAACATGATTGCCACTTAATGCCTCTCTTGCAAAACACAGGACCCAAAAGAAGAGAGATTGAACAAGGGGGAATGCCCTGCCACAGAGGCAGGGTGAGATGGGGGGATGGGGGATGGGAAGGATGTTGGGACCCGTGGTGATGGAGGATAGGCGCTGGTGGAGGGATGGGTACTTGATCCTTGTATAACTGAAACCTAAGCACAAAAATTTGTAAGTCTATAACTGTACCTTATGGTGTTTCACTAATAAAAAAATTTAAAAAAAAAAATAAAAATATACAAATAATAAAAAAGATGAAAATTTTAAAAAATAAAGTAAAATAAAATAGTTGCAAAACTCTGGGTAGTTTTAAAAACCTGAGTGAGCCACCCTTTTTTTCTCTCATAAATATTAATGACTCCTCACCTCTTTGTAGAAACTTAGTGCTTGGTGAACAATCAGGTATACTAGAAGAAAGTTAATGTTAAGTCATTTGGGGAGTCCTGGGGGTTAGGAACTGTCGGTAGAATGATAGAGACAAGGATATCAGTTATTTCCAAAGCAGAGATTGCAAGAAGCACAGGACTGATGAATCAGGGTGCTATTCAGGAACTGTGCTAGAAGATAGACTTTTGCTGGTACCTGATGGTTTCATAACATTAAGCAATTCATAGATGTTATTTCTATATATGTATATATACACATGTACATATATATATATACATATCTATATATCTGAAGGCTCCTTCCATTTCAAAGTTGTCTTAATTACAACCCCAAACTCCTCCTATGTCGAAAGATAATATTCCCAGCAGCATGCTTAAATGTGGTTTACAAGTGCCCCATAATGTTGGAATATTCTTAAAACTAATTTTCTTTTGAGAAGGTTTTCACTTTAGAATCTTAATTTGCTTCCTCTCATTCACCCTTTCTTCTCCAAACCTACCTTTTACTCCTATTAATAACCAGGTCTGTGAATTTAGAATACCAATAGAGGTGACCACAGTAAAGATTCTGAGGAGAGAAGCAAAGACTCTCTAGATTCTTTGTCATATTACTATTTAATTTTTTTTAAATAGTTTGTTGTTTAGCAGTTAAGACCTGGTAGTGCTCAGGGCTTACTCCTTACCGTGTCCTCAGGGATCATTCCTGGTGGTCCTGAGAGGCCAGGGATTGCACCTGACTTGGTGTCACACAAGGTAAACATTTTATGCCCTATACTGTCTCTCTGGCCCTGTCAGTTCATTTTAGAAAATAACAGAGCTTCACTTTAGGTCAGGATACATAAAAGGTCTCAGTGGCCCCCTGAGTTCTGTGTAGTTGATTTCATTTAAAAAACTAAAGAATTATATCCTTATCACCCTCTTATCAATGGATAAATGAAATTATCTCCCATTGTATTTTACCAGCAGTGTTTTTATCAGTATATATGCCACCGAAACAATTTAACAAGTACTGAAAATCTCTTTTCAAGTTTTCTTTGAACTTTATTAAGTTTCCTGTAACCAGTGGAATTTCGACTAAGAAGGTACAAATATTTCCTTACCTGTTGTTAAACTTGCCATTTTTCTGGTAGGTGCTATTTGGCATGGGTTTATTTATTTTTTTATTCTCATAACATAATCCTATTCTGGGAGTGGAGGGAGTAGGGGAAAGGTTTCAATGAACTCAGTTCTAGTGATTTCAGTAATAAATCACTTAGAATTTACACAGTTGTATTATTCTATAGGGGAAGGTGTCCTACTGAGACTTCATTGTTTAGCTGACCAAGTAGGATTTAGTTGTCACTCAGCCGGTATCTCTAGATACCAGGCTTCCTGAATGCAGAGCTGGAGCTTTCATAGTCCACTTTAGATTCAGCCCCTTCCTAATAATAACATTTTATTGCTGGGGATTTTGTACAGGGAAATATTTTTGAGGTTTTGAACATGCCATCTGAATTTTAAACACCTCGAACGTTAAGTGTCAGGGCAAAACAAAAGCAGAATTACTCAGATTTCATTTTGTTGTTATTTGTTTCTTTGGAAGCCTCACTTTATAAATCATTACTTTGAAAATCACTTTAATTTTGTGTGTGTGTGTGTGTGTGTATTTGAATCCCAGATTGTTAAGGGATCCTCCCTTAGAAGCCCCCCACCCCCAGGAGTAGGACAAATAAACAGATATTGGAAACCATTTCCACTTTCTCAGTGACCTAAGGAATGAAGTATTTGTTTTAAAGAACTCAGAATAATGCCTGCAGTGTGCATATTTTGTTTGCTATTTTAAGGAGAAAGTCACATGACCCAAATGCAGTCCATTTCAAGTGTGTTAGGGGAAAAAAATATTTCATTATTTCATTTCAGTAAATGTGGTGGTTACCTATCATGGTTGTCACTTGTTTGCAGTTCTTGTGACTAAAGCAATTGTGGCTTCAGAATTCTACCTTATGTAGACAGAACATCACATCTGTGATCATTGAGATTCTAGACCTTTCTATGGAGGTGCCAGAAGGATGCTGAATGGAAACTGGAAACTTTCTGTATCCTTTGCATACAAGTTATTAAAAACAATCATAGGCTTAGACTTGAGAGCTTGTTGGTTCTGGAGAGCACGTCACCTGCAGGTTCCTCACCTGCCAATTCATTTCCTAAGTGCTGTCTCAGAGAGTGAAAGTTTCCTCGGACTATCTTCGAACCTGAGTGCCCTGATGCCTGATGGGCCTTTCTTCCAATGGGCATTAACAGGCACTGAGTTAGTGAGGGATGTTTTCACTTGAACACTTTAGGAAAGTCCTCAATGGAAGAATTTGTGCTTGGAAAGGGGCTGGAGAAGTGGAAGCAAGGGTACTTCTGTGAGGGGACATGCTGGTACCTGTGAATCATCTGAAGTTCCTGAGCTGAGCTCTGCACTGTGAGATGAATGATTATGTCTCCATTTTCAAAGATGGAATAGAATCCTTTGGACCAGATTTCTCTCACTTTACCATATATTCAGGAAATCTATTTCTTTTTTTTCTTTTAGGTATATGATATTTATTTATTATTATTTTTTTAATGAATCACCATGAGGTACAGTTACAGACTTCCAAACTTTTGTGCTTACGTTTCAGTCATACAATGATCGAGTACCCATCCCTCCACCAGTGCCCATTCTCCACCACCAATGATCCCAGTATCCTTCTCATCACCCCCTCCTCATACCCTCTACCTCACCCCACCTCTGTGGCAGGGCATTTCCTTTTGTTCTCTCTCTCTCCTTTAAGGTGTTGTGGTTTGCAATAGAGGTATTGAGTGACCATCATGTTCATGAAATCTATTTCTCATGTGACTTTTGGCAGCAACCTTTTCATTTTTAGGAATAGTGTGCTATTTCACTGAGTAGCTATTAGCCCTAGTCCCTTCTTTAAAAAAAAAAAAAAACGCTGGGGCTGGAGCAATAACACAGCGGGTAGGGCGTTTGCACGCAGCCGACCCGGGTTCGATTCCCAGCATCCCATATGGTCCCCTGAGCACTGCCAGGGGTAATTCCTAAGTGCAGAGTCAGGAGTAACCCCTGTGCCTCGCCATGTGTGATCCAAAAAGGGAAAAAAATGCAGTTGATTTGTCCATCAGTTTCTTAACAGTTTGGAACTAATCAGAAATTAGCTACTGTGAGCATTGTATCTTCATGCTTAAGTTCAATTTTGCTCAAGCAATTTTTTTCTTTTTGGGTCACACCCGGCGATGCTCCAGGGTTACTCCTGGCTCCTGCACTCAGGAATTACTCCTGGCGGTGCTCAGGGGACCATATGGGATGCTGGGAATCGAACCCAGGTCGACCGCTGCAAGGCAAGTGCCCTACCCTCTGTGCTATCACTCCAGCCCCCGCTCAAGCAATTTGAAAGTATCTGCTCCAGTTTGTGCTTCTGCCAGCAGTATGAGTTACTCCACATTCCTGCTGACACTGGGCTCACTTGATCTTTTCCACTGAGACCATTCTGGTGAATTGAAAAATTCTGTGTGTGTGTGTGTGTGTGTGTGTGTGTGTGTGTGTGTGTGTATGTTTGACTGGGGTGGGAGTGGGGGTTTCCTTTTTTTGGGGGGGGACCACACGCACTCAAGGATTACTCGACTCTGTCCTCAAGGCTCACTCCAGGAGGCTACCAGGGGACCATATGCCTTGCTGGGGATCGAACCCAGGTCAGCCGTATGCAAAGCAAGCTCTCTACTATCGCTACTGTTGCTCTGGATTCATTTTTGTCATTTTAAAGTCTCATTCCATAATAAGGCTTTACTGTCCTTGAATTAGAAGTGACTTATTTATAGGTAAAATAAACACTCCTTAAGCAAGTATTAAGTGATTTTAGTAAGATAATAATTAATGAGTATCAGAAGGTAGCCAAGATCTCTGCACTAGCTCAGCCTGCCTGAATTCATCCACTCATTTTCAGTGCCCGATGTTCAGGCTTGTTAGTTTCAGATATCCTCATTTATTCCAAATCAAGTGACAGAAGCACCTCAAGCACAGGAGATCAACCCAGCAGCTATGACCAGACCTCTTGGAAGCGGTTGGAATGTTTATCCCTTCCTCTCAATGGATTTCTTTTACTCTTTCATTTGCTAAATAATTATTGAATGTATGCTGGGTGGCAGGCACTAAAATGGGCCCCTGGGATTAAGTGGCAAGCAACTTTATAATCTAGTGATATCCCCTTGCACTTTACAGGTTATGGCTTTCATATAACAGCTTATTTCCTCCGGAGAGGGATCCGCCTTTACTGCTCTGGGGGCTCCCAGAGTTCTGGTAAGAAACTTGCTTCTTAATTCATCAAGCACCCTGAGGAAGGGTGAAAGCTAAGAAAGGAAGATTCCTACTTGCTTTATTGTTTTCGTATCATTCAAGTCCTGAAGAAGAGTATTTTGAGGTGTTCTTTTAAAGGTTGTTTTGTAGTGCTGACTGTGTCCACTGCCTGGAGAATGGTGAACTGGATTATGCTGAACTTTCCCCTTCACTTCACACTTTCATTGAGCTTTCCGAGTGGAGCTGACAGACAGCTAAACTGAATCACTCCATCATTGTCTGATAAGCAAATATGCACACAAGAAAATGTTTTCCTGGCCCCGAATGGCCAAAGTCCTCTCTAGGTGTGACAAGGCTGGCTTCCTCCTGATTTCCCAAGGTCAAGATGTCCAGCGAGGAAATGATGTCAAACATATCCAGTCAATAACAATAGAACTGGATGCTGATGACTAGTCTTTAAGTTGATCTGAATGTTGTAAAGATAACCTAGTTCAACTTCCTCGAATGATAAGGATATAAAATATTCAACAGAGACTTTAAAATTGGACGATATAGCAGTTTGCTCTTGGAATCATCACAATTATTTGCACTTTCAGAAAAGTTATTTCTTTTTTAAAAAAATTTATTTTCATAAGGTTGTTCACATTAATTGATTACTATTCAGTATATCAACACCAATCCCACCACCATTACACCTTCCCACTACCATTATTTCGAATTTTCCCACCATGGATCAAGCCTGCCTGCCACAGACAGATTCTAGATCATTTCTTTTCTATTGCTTATTATGACTATCATGAGAACTCCTGGAATTCTAAATATGTAAACGATTGGGGTCTAGAGACATTACTATAGGGAGGTAATCCATTTTGAGATTCATTTGTGAGTCTCTGAATCAGGGTTGGTGGTGCACTTAAATATGACCCGAGGCAGTTTGAGTGTGTGACAGCCAGGACCCCCTTAGGGGCGGGGAGATGAGAAGGGACAAGCCATCTCCGCTGCCCTGTGGGCTGGAGTCTTCAGAGGCTGTTCCTGCATACCTGGGTTTTTTCTTCTGAAAATTTGTGGCCACTGGGGGTTCATCTGGAGCGGGCGGAGAGGGGACACCCACTCCATCTGAGAAGCCCGGGTGCAATTGGCTCGGCACAGGGTCCAGAGAGATCTCCCACGAGCTGCTGTCTTCTGGGATTCGCTGCAGCATCTCTGTATTGAACTATTTCCATAATCATTTGCTCATTCATTCCTCTTACTGAAACTGCTGTTCCCAGAGCCTGATTTAGATCGAGTTTGCCCTCCAGTTAGGGAACTTGGCTAAGACCTGTTGACCTGTTAAGTTAACTAATTCTGTTGATGAGTCACTTTTTTCAGATTTTCTCTCCTATTTTTCCTATTCCTATGTACATCTGTATGCTCATTAGCAAACATTGATTCTATTCTCTAAATGTTCCTTCTGAACCGACAGAGTCAAACTGACACGGAAGGAAAGCTGAAAAGGCCCTGCTGGGGGATTTGGGGAGATATTATCACCCAGGGCTCAGGTGGAACAATCTGTGGCTTCCCGGCTTTCCACAGAACTCTGCTTGCTGTGCCAGCTGCTGCCAGCCCTGGGTGGAGAGAGGAGGGCAGGAATCCTCTCGGGCATGCCTGCCGACTGCACTGACTGTAGAACGTGGGGCTATCGCATTAAAGTGTCATGGCTCGGGGATGCCTTTATTAACTTGATTCGCTTCATTTTCTGCAGCGCTTCGTGTGTTTCCTGACAGATTTGTGGTCTGTGTAAGTCAGCTAGCATTCAGTCACGATCTTTTGGCAAGTCAAGACAAAGAATTGGTATGTACAAAAAATTTTCTATAAACACATATTCTTAGATGACAAATATTGAAACATTAGAAAATGAATCATCTCCCCCTCTCATGTAGCTATTGAATGTCAATGTGTAGTTTTCTTTTTAGGTTTTTGTGCCACCCAGGGGCAGTGCCCAGTGATTACTTGTGGCATGGTCCTTTGGTGTCTGTCACTCCTGACAGTGCTCAGGGGACTGTGAGGTGCTCGAGATTCAATCTAGGGCTTGTACCTACACAACATAAGCTCAGGCCTTTGAGCTGTCTCCTTGGTCCTTGATACGCATTTGAGGGGCCACCTTACATTTCTCTTATGTAAGGCCCTACTTTCATTGCATGATGATACTGATTAATCTACTTGTTGGGTTTTTTTTTTTCTGAAGGCCCTTGAAAAGTTTGTTTGACCAGCAGTATCTTTTCCATATTAATTTAAAATTATAAAACTGTGATTGTGCTTATGGTAGCACTTAAATGAAATCTGGTCATCTTTAAATGAAATGAAGCAAAATGCACATGTTCCACTGTAAGCTTTCATTGGGGTCAGTGGCTTTTGAATTTTATTCCATGGTGAATCACTGACATTTTCATGAGAACCAGTACTTTTCCCCAGTGTGTTATTTCTTAGCTGATAGGGTTCATTTTCTCTCTCTTTTCTCATGCTTAGTCTTAAGTTCCATCAGGTTCTATTTCTGTTTCATTGGACTTCTCTATTCAAACAAATAGATACAGAAACTCATATTGAACTTCACAGCTTTGTGTTTTAAGCCTAATGTATACATTGCAGAGTCTCTCTCTTTCTGTGTGTGTGTGTATGTGTGTGTGTGTGTGTGTGTATACGTGTGTATATGTCTTGCTAGCCAAACACAGTTCAGTCTCTCTAAAGTACCTCTATACAAATGTTTTTCTACATATTTCTGGACATAGGACTTAAATCTCTAACAAAAAATAAAAAATTCAGCACACATTAAGCCTGGACCTACTATTTATCCCCAAAAATAGTTTATGGGAATATTAGATTACCCCTTATATTTATTATTGTTTAGTCCATACAGAATTTGAAATTTGGCTCACATGGTCAAAACCAGCTTCTTATCTCATCTTAAATAAATACATGAGGAGAGTGTTTTAGATGGTCTAGGGGTGAAGAGAGACCCAGGAAAAGGATAGAAGAGAAAAGTCATTTAAATTTAGATGTGCTTTTTTGGAGCAGATTAGCCCTTGAAATAGTCAGTGTAACCCTTCTTTATTATCAATAAAATTCTTTGAAATATTTTCAGGATATTGAGTTAGCTTAGTAAATTAATAAATACTAATGTAATAATGCTGTTGGATACAACTGCAATGTCATATAGCTTTACTCTTTCTCAGAGCAATGAAGAAATTGATCCGCAGTTTAAGAAAACAATAATTAACTATACCAGAAAGTATTATTGCTTTCAGATGGAATATAGAAGAAATTAGATCATGTATGATATATAATATTAATACTTAGTATCTTAAATTATTTAGAGTGAATGAAAACATCTTGAGACAAATGAAATATTATCATCCTTAGGGGCACTGGTATTTATACAGATGTAAGTTTTCTATAACCGCTGTCATAATAAATCCTGTAATCTGGAGTACTTTCTAAATGTTGAGAACTTTCATTCTGAAAAGTTGACTCCGAGCCTTTTACATGAGCCAGTTTAGCTTTCTTATCTTAAGAATGTTCAGATACCAAGTGATAACCCCATTGGATTGAATCAAGTTAGTGTATAAGAAAAAAGCCATTTACATCATAAGACTTTCCTTGTTTTGAGTGAGTCTCCTTGGAGGGGTCAGTTCCTGTTTCTTCAGCAGTCCTTTTTGTTTGTCTTGTTTTGGGACAACACCCAGTGTGGTGTTCAAGGTTTATTCCTTGCTCTGTTCTCACTCCTGGCAGGCTCAGAGGATCATATTGGATAACAGGAATTAAATTCTGTCATGAGAGGTAAGCTCCCTACCCACTGCACTATCTTTTTGGCCCCTCTTCAGTTCTTTTCTCCTCTTCTGGCTGTTCTTTATGCACATTCCAAGTTTCATGTGCACAAGTGATTTAAATCCTGATGCTATGACATAGTTCAATACCAGCACGAAAGCTCGTGGGGTCCTTCTGCTTATCCAACCCACCTGTGTACCTGCACCTTCTCAAAACCTTCTGGTCAGCACTTCTCAAGCTTATTCACACTAGAAAAAACAATCCTAGTCAAGAAACGGGTTCTCTCTCCTGCAAATTGCCCATGAAGCCAACAGGCCATCTTTCCCCTGCAAATGCAGAGACCACCTGTCCCAGAAATTTAAGGATCAGTAAGCAATCCTTTCTTCCAGAATTACCTTCTTCCCCAGAAAGGGCTTTCTTACTCTCTATTGTTTCCTGGAAATGCCAAAAGTCAACGATTTGTGGCTCTCCAGTGAGTCTTTATTGAGCTAGGTGAGAGTGTTGCAGTCTCTTATCAGTTTACATCGGGTAGAATTCACCTCCATCGCTTTCGGAGTTATTCTCAAGAAACCTCTGAAGTGACGAGGCTTGGGAAATCGGCTTCTGGAGTAGCCGCATTGGAGATTGTTTCTTCAGCAGCAAACTTCAATTATTTCCCTCCAAGCGGTTACTGCACTTTGTCTTCCACAGTCACGGGGGAATGAGCTCCTACATCATCAAGGGCTTCTGACTCCTGTCGCCTTGAGTAGAGGATTCCTTTTCCTTTGTCTTCCCGCCAACCCCACCCCCTTTTTGGATTTTCAATGTCTAAACAACAATTGGTTTGGAAATCTGGGAGTGCCTATTCAGAACTGCTCTGCCAGGGGAGCCTTTCAGGCCCTCCACAAGGCAGCCAGCTGCACTTAGCTCCCTGGTTCTTAAAGGTGGCCACACAAAAGAACTGCTGTTCCAGATCAGGCAGTACAAAGGGAGAAATCCCCCCTACTTTGCAGGGCCGAGCAAGTGCAGCCAGGCTGCCCCCTAACCTTCAAACACCAGGGAGGTCCGTTCCCAGCTGTCCTTTGGGCATTTCTCTGTCCACTGAGGCCCATTGGTACAGGGAGATGCTCCGTATTGCAATAGCTCCGCAGTGAGTGCCCATGTGTCAGGGATGTGGGAATCATACTGTGTACTTTGGGAAGAAAGGGCATTATTATGAAGTGAGTCATTGTATTTTTCTTTCTACATTTTCTCATAAGAAATCTCAAAGCTCTTGCAAGTCCCAGTTTTTATCCTTTTACTCAGAGCTGGGAAGTCTTTTTGGTGAGTTTTACCTTGAGTTTCGATGTTATTTTTTTTCACCTCCCTTTCTGCCTCCCTCTTCCCCTCACCCACTGAAAATATGAAAGGCATAAGGACCGTTTTAATAGTGCTCTGTTCTTTTCTGTCCCATCAGTATTCTTTCCTAATTTAGAAATACAAATTCCTTCGTGGAGACCATTTTCTTTCTCAGATATAGAACCTAGGAACTCTTTGGAAATTCAAAATTATGTGTTATTTATTAATGCAAATACCCCAAGTCATAAATCGATTGTGTGAATTGCCATAGAAATGATTTACCTGAAACATTACAGGGTTAGTACAAAGCAGAAGAGCTCATTGGGATAGCCGCTCACTCTAGTCTCTGCAGATCCTTTGCAACTATTCTTACTACCCTATCTTAGTATATTTTGCTGAATGCTGGCTCTGTGCCCTTGTCTCTTATAGATAGTAGGCAACAAAGATAAATAAGCAGGTGGTCTTATCCTCAAAGAGTTATACTGGTTAAGGGCACCGAAGATGATCCTGATGGCCTGTAAAAAGTAATTCAAATAAAGCTCTTTTTTTTTCCCTTCAAGAAGAAGCCTTTCTGTACCTTTATGGTTATCTTTTTTTATGATAATCCATTCTGCCATTGAGGAGGAAAATTCTAAGATTCTAGGTTACTTTCCTATTTTGAAATCTCTGCTACAAGTCTTTTATTCTTTTGGACATGGAAAAAGAGAAATTTATGCTAGGACTTAAAGGTGGAAGTGTACGTTAAAAGTTTGAATTCTCTTATTCTTCATTAGAGTTAGAGCCAAGCTGTGAGAATATCACATTTTGCAGCCATATCCCAGCCTCCGAGCACAGGCCCTCCCATAAAATGGTCTCGGGATTCTTAGGATGTCCTGACAAGACGATTATTAAACACTAACCTGGATACTTCTCTTCAGTCAGGTAACTGTGGAATGTTTGTCTAGTGTGTGACAGTAATATGGAATTGAAAATGAACCTACCAAAGCAGTGAGACCCTAGCCTGGGTTCACGTTCGGTACCGTCTCACTTCCTCAGCTCTGTGGTATTTTAGGAACCCTCTGTGGTGCCAGGGTTCTAGCACATGCAAAGCAAATGCTATCTTTTTCACTTCTGTGAGATTTTGTACAGGATTCTAGGAATATGGCTCATTTTAAACTGAAGCAACTAAATCTTGAGATTGTTTTAAGGGTTCCCATCAATACTCTTATTCTGCTCCATATTTCATGTTTTTTTAGTCTCTTGTTACTTGCAAGTGGAGTTTCTGTTCCTTTTATATAACTTTGATAAGTGTCTCTTAAAGACTGATGAATTCCTTGAACTATCATTTGTCTGAAAAACTCTTTATTCCTCTTCAAATCTGAATGATAAATAACTGGATATTCTTTTTTTTTTTCAAGGTCAAGCAACTTTTATTGTGGAAGTGAATCAAGTGATATATAGAGCTGTCAGAACATTCCAGAGATATTGTAACAAATATTAAAAATAAACATTATTGCATCTTATAAATAAATAGCATATATACATAATTTATGCAACACACAACTGGATATTGTTGATTGGAGGATTCTTCCACTCTACACTTCCTTTTATAATAGAAAATAAATAAGCTACTTAGCAGTTTGACTCTGTAAAAACATCTATACCCAGATGATAGAATTATTCAATTTTTCTGAGGTAACTTTTTTGGGTGTTTTTGTTGTTGTTGTTGGCTT